TAGAACTCCTATTTATTTTAACAAATCAGTGTGGCTTAATTATGCCACCTTTCTCCTTTGCCTCTGTCCTTTTTTTTTTTACACTCTTCTTTGCCTTCCTGCTGTGGCTTGGCCATAGTCGCCCCATAAACCCAGTTAATACAACATCCATGCTGGTAAAGTCATCAAAATGCATCTAATTTCAAAAAAGAAACACTCAGAAGACTGTAACCACTGTAGCGTGCTGTAGCTGTTATGGTGCCTGTAGTGCAGTGCTGTTGTCCCAAGTTAAGATGCCATCAAGCCATTTTAGTATGGTTTCACAACTTACTTGAGTCTTGACCAGTGTCCACGCTGCATATGGCCTCTACGAACCGGAGAAACAGGATGTCTCTTTAAACCAAGGCTTACCGATACAGGGCCGATATCATTGACAGAGATCGTTCAGCTGACGCACTCAGTCATTGACTGATGTCCTTCTTTCCACTAAACAATGGCATCTCTTACCTGTCAGAACCCAAGTAAGTTGGAAAACCACGCTAAGATGGTAGTGACTAGGGTGCTTTGATTGTTTGCTTGAAATAATAGCATTTGTCGAACATGCAGAAGGTATGTAGCAGTACTGGGGATGAGAAATGTTTATGGTAATGGTGTCAGTCTTCAGGGAGAAGAATACAAAGCCACAGTATACTTTGGATAGCAAACACTACTTATATAGTCTGTTTGAAAGAAACATCTAGAAAGTAAAATAAACTACATGTTTCTATCGATAGGTTAGTTGCCCATCATTATTGCAACGCACTCTGTATTGACCTTAAGTGCCAAACTAAATAATTGCCATAGTATATATATATAAAATGCTACACAATTAAGGAGTTTACTCATACAAAGATGCCAGTTCTCTAGTAAGTGCACTATACACAATTCTTAGCAACTATTAATTCAATTGATGTGTGTTTTAAATCTCCATGACAATCACATTCTCACTTTCCCTTTTTGAGAATCTACGGAACACCGAGATGGGGATTGTTACGGTGGCTTAGCACGTTGTTGAAAGGCATCCCAAAGCAATTAACAGTTTCTCATAAGCAGAGAAAATGGAAAAATCGTGTTATGTCTAAATAATGACAGTTGGCTAAAATAAACCACAGCACAATAAAGGTTGTTTCAGGCTAAGAGTCCTGCAAACATAAACGAACAATCTCTATTTATCACTTTGTATTTTCCATGTTCCAAAAATCGTTGGTTGATAAATGTGAGCATTCTAATCCCAAAATATAAACGTGAAGCATACGCCTTAATGTATCACAGGGGAGGAAAGCTATAGAAATTCTACCAGTTTATATGTTGCTAAAAACATTGTCTCTTGACACCGCAAAATCACAAAGCATATTTCACGGCATATTGCTTCTAGAGTCGCACATTTCGGTTAAAGCATGAACAATGAGGACAAAGCGTAAAATATTATTAGGTTAAAATTAAACCTCTTATTGAATGATTCTATACAGAACTGCATACACCATGATCCTACGAGGTACTTCTACATCAGTTAGAGACACAGGGAGTTGAGATTTATCAACAGATGGAGAGGTGAATAGGATGGCAAAGGATCATGGGATATGTTATTCTCCAACATATATAGAGTCACGGGCCAGCTAAGCATCATGGTAGATTCATGAGGCCCCTGGGAAATTATTGATGAACAGTCACAAGGCCATTTTTTTTGTAGTGCAATACGTAGGGTAATATTAAGCCAAGATTGCTTTCTTTATTCCAGCTTATAATATTATTTACTATTTTCTCCAACAGCAACATCTGTTTATAACTAGACATGTGAAGATGAAGTCAGTATAACCAACATGGTACAGTTATATTTATTTATAGGTAGGTGACGTGCATGTTGTAACAGATTTAAGGAATAAGGTAGCCAGTAGTTCTGTATCGGGTGCAGAGTCTAAGTGGGAAAAGGGCTGTATCCGATGGAGTAGTCTCTCTTAAGAATGATTGGCTTTTTGACTTAAGACTTCAAGATATACCGAGGATGCAATCCGAGATCCCGATGGAAAATACTTTGCAACCATGTTTCGGAAAACCTTAGACAGAATACTGTGACAATGCAAATTTCAAAAAAATAAAATAGTGTTAGACTTTTACACATCAGGTTCTTTGAAATGGGGAGGGGGGCAAGATTAGAAAAGCATGGCTTGCCAAATCTTGAATTTCACTTATTTTAAGGTAACAATTTGGTGCATATATAAAATGCGTGGATATGTACTTTCCCCGTACTTGGTTATGTTGACCTTGCAGTTGACCTTTTTGAGAGGTGAAATATGCTGGAGTTTTTGAGTTTCTGTGCAGACTATTTAACTGGCCTTATTTGTGAGACTAGGCTGATACGCTCTCTCCACTCTAATTGTGCAAATGTGTGCGTGCTTGGCTGAGTGTTTGTTTGTGCTCTGTGAATTTGTTTTTTTGCATCATCTTGGTACACTGTTTGGTTGACTATCCATTTTTTTTAAATAAAATTAAAATCCAAATAGTAATGTACTTTCTTTTGCGGTTAAAGCAATGTTAAATACTGAAAAGTACAGCTTAATTGAGCTATCATCTTCACATTTCTTGCCCAGCCAGAGAGCTTTTCATTTGTCAACCTGCCATAGTATGTTGGCTGGCTCGTAATTGCTTCAGTGATATAGCTCAGCCAATAGGAATCACTCCTCACGACTGGGGAAAACTAGTCGCCAACTATTTTGGATCAGCTACAAACAGAGGCTAATAAATTATATTCCTACTCATTTTTACTTTTCACTCGTATGAGTAGTATGGCTATATTAGATTAAAACCTATAATTATGCGCTGAAATGGATTTAAGTGGGAATTATTTGCATAATTATATCTGCTTTTACCGAGGCTTCGATACCAGTAGAAAACTTTTCGTTAATGGTATATTTAACTTTCATTTTGTTTTACAGTTTTTCATCGAGCAATTAAATAAATCTATAGAAAAAAAGGCAAATTTATGAATATGAATATTCTTCTGGGAAATTGACGGTTTCTTCTGTTATGTGAATATAGAATATAAGAATAAGCAGATGGAGAAGGGATACATGGAGTATAGAGCTGTAGAAACCTTCTGCGTGTTTCAACAGATAAGGTAAAGCCAAAAAATAAATAATGAAAACTACATTAAGTGTAAAAGATTATCTTTAACCCTCATTTGAAAACGAATAAAATCTAAAATATTCATGGAGGAAGAGGTTTGGCAGCATAGTCCAAGTCCAGAGATCTCAAACTCTGGTTCACAATATGTTGAACTACAACTCCCCAAATTCTCTACCCATCTATTACATTAAAAAAAAAATTGTATTCAACTAGCATTGAGGTGGGTGTAATTTGACAACCCTTTCCTGGTTTGATGCATTTCGAGTTCATAGGCTCGTTTTCGTAGGCATGCTTGGCATCTAACATCATGCATTTTTTTGTAAAACGGGGTAAAATATAATAATTTTATACTATTTGGATAACTGCGGTATTATTTTTTTCTGGAAGCTAATTGGTGTTTATACTCATCAGCTCTTTAATAAGGAAAAGGCTGGCATGAGAGTCAGGGGGTGGGGGTGAGCAATTACTGCCTGGGCCAATAGTAGAGGATTTTGGGCTTCTCCCTCACAGTAGACTTGGAGATTAGTTTTGGGCTGAACTGCAATTCATCCATATTTGGTCCGATCATCTTATCGGCAGAATTCCCGAACTCTCAGTTGAAATGTATCGAAATCATGAACTAAATGAGCCATGCAATGGCAAAACATGGTCATTTTTAATTAGTGATTTTGAATTCTGCCTATAGTGCCAAGAAAAAATTGAGGCTGGGGGAGAGTCTCAAAATTTAGATTATTATTATTTTTTTTTTTTTTGAAGTGAGCAATAGAGGGCAACAAATGAGGATAAGTAAAACAAAAATAATAAAATAAAAAAAAATATATATATATATATATAGATATATATATATAATCGATAAAAGTATAATATAGAAATGTATAAATATAGATTTTTTGTAAATATTTACTGTTCCTTCTGATTTTTCCTCTTACTTTTTCTCAATTGATCTTAGAACCAAATGGCCAGAAAAGGCTCCTATCAGTTTACTGCAAAAAACATATACATGATATTATATTATGTATTTCGTACGCAGGGCCGGTGCAAGGATTTCTGCTGCTCTAGGCAAAGATCCATTTTGCCACCCCCTCATGAAAGCAAATATAATCTCAAATCTCTCTGTCTCATTAGCGATAGCTTTGCAAGAAGCTCAAGAAAGCAAGGAGAAGGGTCAGTGTAGGACCCGCCTAGGGAGGTCTGCCTTGACGTTGGCAGGCGGGCATTCCCTCCAATGGCCATTGGAGTAACTAAATGACCTCCATTTGTTTAAATATACATAGGGATTAAGGAGAGAGCGCAGGTAACTTTTTTCCTTTGGTTTTTACTATATATTGGGGCTGATGTGTACTGTAGTCATTGCAGCCGCCCAGGAGTGATGGGAGTAAGTGCAGGACTTATCTTTTTGTATTTGTATTCACTTTTTGTATCACACAGCTTTGTTACAATGCTTTTGCCCATGCCATGTGTTCCCTATTAAGGGTTAATAAGTATATTGGGGTGTATATAAAAAATACCCCTCTCTGTCTCATTAGAGATATCTTTGCCAGAAGCTCAAGGAAGCAAGGTGAAAGGTCAGTGTAGGACCCACCTAGGGGGGTCTGCCTTGACGTTGGCAGGCATGCATTCCCTCCAATGGCCATTGGAGTAACTAAATGACCTCCATTTGTTTTAATTGTACATAGGGATTTAGGAGAGAGTGCACTTTTCCTTTGGATTTTACTGTATGTATTGGGGCTGCCGCCCAGTAGTGATGGGAGTGAGCGCAGGACTTATCTTTTTGTATTTATACCTACATCCACACACACATACTGCCTGATACCTACATCCATACACACACACACACACACTGCCTAATACCTACATCCACACACATACTGCCTAATACCTACATCCATACACACATACTGCCTAATACCTACATCCATACACACATAATGCCTAATACCTACATTCATACACACACACACTGCCTAATACCTACATTCATACACACACACTGCCTAATACCTACATTCATACACACACACTGCCTAATACCTACATCCATACACACACACTGCCTAATACCTACATCCATACACACACACTGCCTAATACCTACATCCATACACACACACTGCCTAATACATACATCCATAAATACACACTGCCTAATACCTACATCCATACACACATACTGCCTAATACAATACATTGTACATTGAATACCTAATTTATCACTGTGATAAATGATGTATTAAATGCATTTGGTGAATTTAATTTATAATAAGACTAGCATAGACGAGCAGCCACACGATCGAGCACCCACACATACTGATAGACACATACTGACAGACACATACTGACAGACACATACTGACAGACACATACTGACAGACACACACTGACAGACACTCACTGACATACACTCACTAACAGACACAACTGATTTTTCTCGCCATCAATAGATCTACCTCACAGTGCAATACTAATATGTTATATGATTGTAATATTCTATCTTGCAATAGTCGCATAAGCCATTTTATATAATATTAAGGTAAGGGTTGGAGTGTGATGGGACCATGTACTGATTAGTGTTTATCGGGCTGTTTGTAGTTGACCCCCAGTCCACAAGTGTCCAGCCCTCCCCAGCCTCTAATTGAGGGGGCAACAACCTTAGTGGCTGAAGAATCCTTGATCAGTTTTCCGAGTAGTAGAGAGAAAAAGAAAATTAGAAAATAATTAAATCTACATTTCTTCAAATGCCATGAGAGCATTGCGATCATGTTATTGAATCCCAACTCCCATAATTCTTGATCAGTCTGGGGCCCATGAAAGATTATGGGAAACAACCAACACGAGTGCATGTTAACACTTCTGTAACGTGCCAGCACTGGTAAATACATACTTTCTCATGCAGCACCGTGAAATCAGCAAGCATTGGAGACTAGTAAATATGTTTCATTAAGCAAGAGAACCACAGTTGCATAACTGTTCACTAATTGGAAACATTGCTAAGATCTCATAAGAGTATCAGAAAGACAGAGTACACCATAGGCAATTGTAATAAGAGACTCAATGATTATGATACACAGAATGCAAAGTATCAGGCTTTGTGAGCCTAAAGAGGATTAACTAAAATATATGGCACTGCATTGGATTTAATAGACAGTACGAAGGCAGCAATTACTTCACTAGCCAATTTAAAGCCCAATTAGACTGCTCCCCTATTTAAAAGAATAAGTCTCTCTGTGGCTGTTATGAATCCCAATTCTAAGCTTTACTCATTGCAAATAAACTCGTGCATTTCAAAATTACAGAATAATTGCCCTAGAATATAATTTTATTGAGCTATAAGAGTTGCTTATGGGATGGTTAAGGAATAGAGATGAGCAGGAGTCATGTGATTTAAACAGGAGGGCTTGTCCTTCCAAAATTCACTAGCCAACATAGGCCTTCGCTTTAGAGCAAAATTCTCATTCTATTTCCAGTAGATACACTGCATTGTGTAGTACGGGGCACAAGTCATGCACACGGCAATCACTTATATGCTAATATGACCTTAGAATATAATTACAAAGACAATGTGTCTCTTTGATGTTACATGTTTCCACTGACGCCCACAAAGTTTTATAAAGGATTGCATCTTTACAAAAAAAAAAAGAAGATAACTCTTACATAACAATTTGTCGTAATAATTTCTAAGAAAAATGATCAGCACAAACTGATGTGCAAAAGATGTACGCAGAACAAAAATATCCCCAAAGTCACGCTTTTAGGTCCTATACACACTTTCAAATCCATTTTGTTCAGCCCAATATCTCATTGATAAGGTCTTGACAATCTCACGTGTCTGTAAACCTTTGCAACACTAGAACACATTATTCTGTATCTCATGTCTATATTTTTTTTTAGATAGTTTGATTCTTTACTCAGAAAAGTACATTTTCTTACATTTTTATTTGCTTGATTGAAGGAGAAAAAAAAGAATCATCGCTGTGATTATGTAATCAATATATGTTCATCTTTTAGATATAAAATAACATTTCCTGGGTGCAGTCCCTAACAAAATGTGCTTTGCATGAGAATGTCTGGGTTTTTTATGAAACCCTACGGTTAAGACCTCATCAGTGGTCAGGAAGCAATTTCTTTAGTCACAGAAATAGTGATTCACATATAAAATCTTAAATATTTATCCACTGTTCAGCTGGAAGAAATAAAATATTAATCAGCGCTTTATTGTATAGGAGTCTGTACACACACAGACTCCTACACACACTGACCCATACACATATTCATGTACAAAAACAGACATTCATACACACACACATGTGCACACACACATTCATATACACACTCCTGATTCCTTTAGTACACACAATTACTTTTTTTTTTTAAAAAAAACGAATTTTAAAAAAGTATTTTCTTTATTGTAACACTGAGGTCCACTTAGCCTCCATGTTCTAACCTTGACACGGAGAGCTGGAGTGGCAGCTCATTTCTGAGGTCTAGTTGGAGGTGATGCTGGGATCCATCTCTGTACTGTTGGGGCTGGGATGATGTCATATCCTGGTTCCATCAACAGAACATGGCGCTCGAGGGAGCTGGGAATACAGTACAGTGTGATGCCAGCAGCTCCATTGATGCCCTGTGCAATGTGACTCCTAGGCAAGCAAGGTGCCGGTAGGCAGGTCACTGCTCAGGCAGGAGGGGGTGCAGTGTGTTCCCCCCTGCCACCTGTCTCATGGGGCGGGAAATCCCCTACCCTCCGTTACCATCAAGTGGCTATTTGGCAGGTGGTCGGTATCTTTACAGGAAGATATTATATGCAGTGAGCCGGTGGAAAAGAAATGTGACAATGTTGGAAACTACTTGGTAATTAGCAGCTGCTGCTGCGAGTTACCGGTTGCGGTTAATAGCAAGAGCTTAAAGCAGATATGGCCAGCAGCATGAGTTTAAAGGACCACTATAGTGCCAGGAAAACATACTCGTTTTCCTGGCACTATAGTGCTCTGAGGATGCCCCCACCCTCAGGGACCCCCTCCCGCTGGGCTCTGGGGAGAGGAAGGGGTTAAACTTACCTCTTTCTCCAGCGCCGGGCAGGGAGCTCTCCACCTCCTCTCCGCCTCCTCTCCTCCTCATTCACAATGCTTTCCTATGGACGCTTGCGTCTTCTCACTGTGATTTTCACAGTAAGAAGCATGCAAGCACCTCTAGCGGCTGTCAATGAGACAGCCACTAGAGGCTGGATTAACCTATTTATAAACATAGCAGTTTCTCTGAAACTGCTATGTTTATAAAAAAAGGGTTAACCCTAGCTGGACCTGGCACCGAGACCACTTCATTAAGCTGAAGTGGTCTGGGTGCCTATAGTGGTCCTTTAAATTATACACTGTTTTTTGGTCTTCACAAGCAATGTATCTGCTCTTGCATTTTCTATACACTCTAATTCAGAGAACAGAAAAGGCCATTTTGAGGTACTCCATCTGACTATAAGTTGCACATTGTGTTTATCATTGGTTTGCTGAAGTAGGAACAGCTAGTTTTTGTGCACATTTGGGTGTGGGTTAATTTTTTTTTTAAATATTTACTCTGTAGCCTTGATACTGTGTTATATTGTATAAATCCACTAGGTAGGAATCTTCTGTGGGAACAGAATCTTCCTTTGTTTTTTATTGTACAAATTTTGAGGGTTAAGCCCCGAACAGACCTAGCACTGTTCCACTGGCACAAGGCCAGGACTGTCTTTAGTCTACGAGCCTCGAGTCATAAATACATTCTATTGGGTACAAATGCATTTCTTTGTAGAGATTTTTCTAGAATTGATCTCACATTTTGACTTTCATCAAGTAGGAATGGTAATAATCCTTTTCTGCAGAAATTAACTTGCTTGAATGTAATTATTTACGGCTTGTACAAATGGCATTTGTCCTTTCAGTTGGCCACTTGGGGTCTCTGATCTAAACAGCTTTCAGTTATAGGGAAACCTTTTTTAGCTCCCGAATAAGAAAATATCACTTCTTGTAACTTATCTGTACTTGACCTGTTTGTCTTTTATGCATCGTACTTTGGCGCTCTACTCTATAGCTTTTACATTCTACAGACATGTCATCTTCCTCATCGATACTTTACCATGAAACTGGGCTCGTTACATAGTATTACATTGTATTTGGTTGTTCCCTCCAAGATGTCCCTCAAGACCTGTACATCGTGGGCATACTGATGCTGCGTGGTATTTAACCTCTGTAACACCTTTTACAATAACCCTTTTATTGCTAAAATTGTACCTGATTTTATGATTAATTCTATAGTTAAAGTTTGGTCTGAGGTCTGTAGAAATCTCACAAATTATTTCTCAAGTCAATTTATGCTAATGCTTCACATGATTAGGTCTCTTAACCAGCTTTTTATATCATACTTATGTCCATTCTCAATGCAGAGGACCTGCTAATATCTAGTAAAAAACCTGATTGAAGTAATTTTATAGTAATTTTATATGTGATTTTATACAATATATTTTCTTTGTGTTTTCTCAATGTGAAATTTTGTATACAGCAGTGCTTAACATTTTTTTATCGATGACCCAATTTACATATACAGGATTTGTTTAGTGACCTATAATTCAATTTACGCAGTAATCCTACAATATTAACAAACTCTGCAAAACATCGCAATTGGATGCCAGAGTCAATGGGTCTTCCTGGGGATCTGTTAAACTAGCATGGAGAACCAACATTGGGTTCCGACCAAGGCGATAAGAATCACTTTATACAGACTGATAGGTCTTGCTTCTGTATGAGCAACTTAATATATACACTTGTCAAATTAATACTACTAATACTGTACGTTAAAAAAAAACAAATGCAAAAGGATGCACCTTGTGTCAAATATTTAGTATGTTAGAGTGGAAAATTGTGGGGAAAAAAGTCCAAAGGACTCCAAAATGTTCTAGTCAATTATACACAATTCCTAGTTTGGTGAATTAACCAAATTCAATATTGTATATTCTGTATATAAACTCAGAAGTCACAATATTAAATGTTCTCATCCTATCCTTGTAATAACTTGAAAATAGCAACGGCTGCTTTCTGAGATTAGATGACCTTTTTAATCCATGCAGTTCTCTCAGCACTCATTTTGCTTTAGAAATTGCTTCACATTTTGAAATATTTCATATTATTGGAGGGGACAGATCAAAAAGAAAGG